AGAAAAATTCTCCTGACCTTACGGTATAAGGAAGTATAAGGAGTAATAAGTTAGTAATTATCGGGTCGTAATTTTTAGTAATTGAGTGATGTGATGACCAATTATAGTAATGTTGAAAGAATGCGATTTTGTTCTAAATAATACAGTAATAAAGATTTTCTAATATTGTCAGCTTATGACATTATGCCACAATTCACATACATGCGTAGTTATGTTTTAATAGTAAATGCTAGGATAAGTTGAACGAAACCCCATTATCAACGGTGGTTCGAATGAAATAATTAGGTGTTCACTTATCAGTCTATTTCCTTAGGAACTTCATTTGACAATATCAAAAGAGGAAGTAGAAATAGTTCTTATAGATCAAATAATGAATTGAGATTATAAAATTATTTACATCGATATTAAGAAGTAATTAGAATAATATATTGATGTAATTATGTATTCTAAATTTTAACCTAATAAAAATGAGTATATTTGACATCTATAACTCTTAAGTAAAGCCTTCTAGTACTATAGTTTTATTAAAGATCCGCCAAAAGTTTTGTATAGTCATTGTTATATCTTGTCATGTTCCGGTACTATATTCTTTTAATACAAGTTTCATTTGACTTAGAACTTTTTTGGACATTTGAAATCTTCCAAGCTCGTGATTTAAACTTGCAAAACTCGTTTATATTGTCCACAAAATATTAAATTATCTACTAAATTTGTCTACTATCATTCTACTATTGGATTGCTTTAATAGTCAAAAAACTTATCGTTATGCTCCAACTAATGTACATACGTACAAACTAATAATTGGCGATATCGTTGTGGCTGTGTTATAGATGGATAAGTAGAGTTCATAGTAATTATTCGTTAGAGTCAACTCAATTTCAAAAAAAAAAAAAAAGAATGGACGATGAAAGATGGGCAATATTGTTCGATCAAGAATGTGAGTAAAAAAAAAATTGTGCGGTTTTTATATGCCTCTTAAATTATCATTAACGACATCAAATTTAAACCTTTCAGATATTCGAGCCGAAGATTATAAACGCTGTTTACAAACCGTAAATGATTTTAATTTCTTCATCGATGAACTTCCTGATTTGCTCAGGAAGGATACATTAGTTGAGTGCTCTAACTGTCACAAGATTTCACTTCCTCAACGATCTCAAGATGAAGATATGCAGCAATGTTACCGACAAAGATATTCACATAAAATTGAAAGAGTTGCTTCTGTAGATGGATTACGTGACACTAAACTAGATATTACGACTTTAAGATCACTTTTTGAATTGTAAATATTGAATTATAACTTTATTTAATTACAAATGAAAGATAAGCTAATGACTACCTTTCAAATAATAGAGTCGGAATGAATTTTGAAGAATTCAACAAATCTGCAAATTATTTCTTTGAACTATATAAAGTTTACATTTGTCGAAAATGTGATAAAATTTCATCTTTTCCTGAACATGCCGGATATCGTAGTTCAAATCATAAGCATTCTTATATGTTAACTAGCTTAGATCAATTGAAAGGCATAAAGTTCGACCTATTACATTTTTTTGATATTCTCAAGAATTGTGTGGATTCTTTACGCCCGGAGGCGCTCTCTCACAAATG